TATACAGCGATGTAGAAAGATCATATTCAGATCCAAAATTAGTGGCTAGCATTATAGAAATGACAAAGATTATCTTCTTCTCATCACTCCCTGGTTTAAAACACAACATAGTCCTTAATTCTTGAGTGAGAAAAATAGAAGTAAGGGTAAAACTAGCTTTCTGCATGCTGAATTTATTTGAACTGCCACTGAAAGTGCACCTTACTAACTGATTAATCTCTAGCTGCTGTAGTTTACACATGACAAGTATCAGTTATGAACTGCTAAAAAGGCACTGGAACAGACAGGGAGATTTAGATTTCACGGGAAGGAAAACAAGGAATAAAGACAACTGGACTACTATAAAGTAACTATTGATGAAATCAAAATCAGGCTGACAGAACCTGAAAAAAATTACATTATTATGGTGCAAAACAGCAATTAATGTGATGAGTCATATTTTCTTACAGGCTGAGAAGGGACACAGTTGGTCACAAAAGGAGAGGCTGAAGAAAATATTTGTGCACAGTTCTTATCATAGAGTCATAGAAGGGTTTGGGTTGGAAGGGACCTTAAAGATCGTCTAGTTCCAAACCCCCTGCCATGGGCAGGGACACCGTCCACTAGAAGTACTCTTCCCTTAAGTACTTGCCACAACATGAAGCTCATCAGTGCTTAGTGAAATAACCCAAATCTGGTTTCTTTCCTTGTAAATGTAACAAATGGTATTCATTAAAAGAATTGTTTTTAATGGCTCCTCTCTGGAAGAGCTGGAGTGCTTCGCTTTGCATCCTTGATGTTTCTAATAAATAAATGCATCTCCGGTGGGTGGAACAAGAAGATTAACTGTGGTAAGAGACTGCAATAACTGCATTGAAGAATGGGGTTTATACCTGGGGGCTCAGTTTTGTACTGAGACAAATAGGCAAAAATCTCATTGGCTGCAAAGGGCACTTGTCTGAGTATCAGAGGTCAGAACTGACTGTGTAATTTGGAAATGAGAGTATTGCAGTGCTCCCTTTTAAGCTATCTGAAGAGTAAACTATTTACTAATGATTGGAAATAGATGTTAATAAGATTTTAATAGGGTTTGAGAGTGTTGTTAGTGAAGATGTTAATGGAAATATGAGTTTTCGGGGGGGGAGGGAACTGCTGGAGAGTAAACTTACCATTTAGTAATCTGAAATGCTAAATGACTAGTGTTTGTTTGAAAATTACTTTAAGTGACTGTTTGTTAGCAGTAGCTTACATTTTCTGGGGGAGGAAAAGAGATCTCCTTGAAGATACTTGTGAAATGCAGCTGCGTTTTTTGAATTTTAAATAGAAAAAATTAACACCTAAAAACTTTTAAGAATGTGCTGCAGAAGTAACATATTTTCTGCAACCACAGTAATAGCTTTTTTGTAATGAACTGTGCTTATTTCCTACCAATTAGGTTTTTTTTTGGAAAGCAGTCTTCTACAAAATTTTAAAGCTTACAGTATGGGGTATTTGAAATACTTTTTTAAGATTTTTTTTTTTTTTATGACTCTTTCTGTGAATGTGGGATTAATTATTTTTAAAAACATATGACTCCTCCAGATTTGTTATAATATTATTACTAAGACTGATTGCTTTTCCCCTTCTCTCTTTTTTTTTTTTTCCCCCCTTGGCTTTAACTTGTTCCCACCTATACATTTTTATTGTGTGATATGCAACTAGTGCTAACTAAGCGTATGTTTGGAGAAGGACTGAATTTAGTGGAAGGTCACAACAAAAATCCCATGTTGTTGGTCTTGTCAACAGATAATCTAAAAATAAAAATCTTAATTGGCAAACTATTTTTTCCCTATTTTTAGTTTATTCTTCTTTTCTCATCTACACCAACCTTATGGTATCAAGACTGTCCTCATTATCCTCAAAGGGTCTTTCTCGTTTGTGCCTCTTCGTGCACAGTGGTTTGTAGGAGTGACAGAGATGAGGATGCCTGGAGCCACCACTGTGTGGATTATGCACCAAATACTGCTTCACTGGTGTCTTTCTCTGGTGGGGTATTCAAAGCAAGAAACGTTGAATCAAGTGAAGCAAAAATAAGATCTGACCCGCTCCATCAGCTAAAGTTTTAGCTGTTGTTCTCTCCCAGCCTGAGGCCCTCTCTGTCCTAGCCCATAGAAATGTGAATTGTGGATGTGGACAAATGCATGTGGCTTTGAAAGGTTTTGCAGTTCAAACAGAAACTGGGGATTGGGGGTTGATCGAGTCCCATGAGGGATGACAAGGAATTGGTGAGTGGAGTGGGAGCAGTGTGGCAGCGGCCTGTAGCCTTGGCTCCTGAGGAGCAGTTGGGGCTGCCAGCCGTGAATGGGCCTAAGCAACATGGATTTTGAAGGAGAGATTTGCAGCAGAGCGGCGAGGTTTTTTTGTCAATATTTCTTGGAAGGTTCCCCTTGTCATTCATGTCCTCCTCTCTCTGAGGGCTTTTATGACGAGAAGTGGCATTAGTGCCCACTCAAAGTTGGGAGTCGCTGTATTGATTCATTAAAGAGAGATGGAAAGCTCAGGCTGGGAAGAGCCCCACAAGAAAAGCAGCTTATGTTTGGTCAAGTAGACCAGGCCTGTACCCGGCGATTGAAGGGTAGGGTGCAGTCTCTGAGAGTTAATGGCGTGTTTTTAATGTACAGCAAATGCTCATAGGACCCTGAAAATGGCCTTGAGTCCTCTGTGCTGAGTATCAGCTGTGCATTTCAGGACACAGACTTCTCTTCCTTGAGACAGGACTTAGTCTGGGGAAGGTAACGAGCTGGCTTTTTTGGAAGGACAGGAGGAGCACTGCCCTGGAAGCATGGCACAGAGCCATGGCCTGCTGCAGCATACCCCACCTCGCCCTACTAGAACCCCTCAAAGTACATGCTTTTAACGTATTCAATCTGTTAGTTTTATCTTTTGCATGGTGTGCTGTGGTGGTTAAATTTCAGCTGAGGTGGGTCACTGAGAGCAGGTTGTTCCAAAGGTAAAAGGCCACTCAAGAGCTGCTGAGCAGGTCTGCAGGGTTAAACTGAGGGACGATAAGCTGAAATCTGACCTCACTTAGGCTGCAGTTCAAGTGCACAGGGTCTGTGAGAGGGACCCAGTCTGCTCTAAGCACCTTCAGCTGCAGGAGGAGGGAAGCCTGGGCAAGGTCTGGGAAGCCCAACCTGCTTGGCCATGCTCAGCACTGGGGATGCTTCTAATGCAGCACCATGAACATCTTTCTGCAGTGATTAGTGTTGGATTCACAAGCAGCACAGGTCACATGCACAGGACACGACTGTCAGGAGAAGTTTAAGAACTGAGATAGCTACATGGAGAAATTGTATTTATTGGGTAACATGCACTACTACCAAGATGTTATTGCCATTGATGCAGAAGCTAAATACTCCTTTATATATTTCTTTTCCTGGGCTTTCAAATAAGGGGAGGTTAAGGAATGGTGTTGGGGTGCGTATTAGCTTGGTAATTCATTGTCATTTATTAACTTGTACCTGGAGCAGAGAGGCAGGGCGGGTGGAAACTCACAGTCCTTCCATAAGGCTCTTTACCTTTAAAGGCAAAGTCCATACAGTTAGTATTTCTTATCAGAGAATCAAGCATGTATGGTGTGAAAGGATTTGTGACTTGGACACACAAGGGGCTTATCTTCAGAGAGAAAGGTATGGCTTTTTTACTTAGGGGCAGCTAACAAGCGTCAGTTGTCCCAAGATAAAACGTAAGGACGAGGTGCTTTTGTTTTAATTCTAGATAAACTTGCAAAGTCAGCCAAATGGGAAGATAGAACTTAATTTACTGCATTTACATTGTGATAAATCCACAATGCTTGATCTTTGATATGTTTTTCTCTTGGAATAGGTGATATTTATTACTTAACTGCAAACCATGCCTTCTTTTTTAGAAAATGGAAACAAGTTCAGACATAAAAGACATCTGAAGCTGTTCCTGAAATGTTAAGAACTTACTATTTTTTAATACAAGGAAGAATTTTGATATACTGTCATAATAATAGTACAGTAACTTAGTTTAGAAGGGGCCACTGGAGATCATCTTGTACGATCTGCCCCCCACTCAAAGTAGGGCCAACTCTGAAGTTAGATCAGGTTGCTGCTCATGTAATCCACTGATAGTCTGAATCAGTTTGTGGCTTTTGTTTTGGTATATTTGACTGTGAGGATGACCTGTAACTTCAATGACATCATTATAACCTTTGCACTTTTTAAGAGGAATTCTTTGCTAGGCCAGTGGTAATTTTTGCCAGTGACTTAATGAGTTCCAGATGAGACCTAGAGGTTTCAGCTTGTTGGTTTCTTTTTTCTAGTTGCAGCTATACTTAAGATGAAAGATCCCTTTTGAAAGCCTTAGCAACATACATTTGGCAGGGTGAACCAAAACCTAGTAACGTCAAACTATAAAAATGGTAAGCTTTCAGTCAAAGAGGAATCAAGATAGAAGCAAATAGTGGCCTTTTAGTAAACTCACCAGTTTACTTCCCAAACTGTAACTTCAGTAATTCTACTTTGTCCTTGCCCAGCTGTAATTAAGGTTGTAGATACCAGACGAAACGTTAATAAAAAATAAAAGGGGAATAGCAAAGGAAAAAAGTAAGGGTACTGTCAAGCTATAAGAATTTACTCAGGCAGAAAGGCACTTCTGAAAAATTCATTATGAACAGTGATGCTAGGAAGATATGTACCATGAAGTTTCTGGAACTGACTGTTGTGAATTGAATTAGAGGTTTGGTGTAACTAGGATTACTAGAACTTGGATTCATTATTTCATCTTTAATACAGACTCCTGTGCCATTCCAGATTAGGAGATACGTATAGCAGAAATATTAAATTAAAAATATTATTCCAGATATTAAAAGTAATTTTTAATATCTTGGTTTGCTTCTTGACAGTAGTTTGTTTTGATGCTTTGACACAATTCATCACTATCTGCTTTCACAGATATTAATATATCCTGTATCTTAAAATGCTAACCAAGAATTGCTTTTTGGTTTATGTTTATAGCCGTCGGTCTGGCCAGTATACAATGAACCATGACCATTCCAAGAAGACCGCCGATGGAGCATCATTTGACCGCTCAGGATCCCAGGACTCCTTGGATGAACTGTCTATGGATGACTACTGGAAAGAACTTGAAAACATCCATGAAACAAGAGGAGATAATCATGAGGAACGAGTAGCACTTGTAGTGAAAGAGCCAGATGGTAATGAAATCCGTTCTTGTGAATGATCGTAACTTTACTGATTTACAGATTTTTCTTTAAGTCTTATTTCAAGAGATGGCACCCACCAAACACATTTAAATCAAAAAGGAGGTCACTCTGCTGAACATGTACTTTGAAAATTCTGTTGCCTCTGATGCATATCGCCAGAAGCAGACAGTGCCCTGAAGGAGAATTGTATTGGGGATAAGTAAAAGGCTGTTTTTCCTTTAAATGATATTTGCAGAACATCAGAAAGTTGCCTGTACTTGCAAATCACAACAATCGAAGCTTTATTTGCAGTTTACTGTTAAACTAACTTACCCTTTCACTCTTTGTGTATGTTGTTCATTATTGTAGCTATTGTGGATAGAAACCTCTCATGCTTTAGAAGACAAGCCAATGATTAACCGGTTTAAGTTTAGTGAGTAACTTTCTGTGCTTGTAACTATTGTGACTGTTCAGTTTTATTATTTTTCCTTCTCAAAAGCATCGATTATGGGCCATTCCTGAGGGCATGATCTTAGAAGAAGTTGGGCAATGTCTTTATTTTTCTTGTCCTGTCAGACAAAAGAGGAGTAACGTCCTTAATTCCACTCTTCTCTCAAAAATTATTTTTTAATGGTGCGGTATCTGCCTCTCTCCCATTCTTACAAGAGGCCCATAGTCTCAGTAAATTACAATGGTGAGTTTCCCATTTTGGTATGGCCTCTACACGAGTGCAAATAACATGCTTCCTTAGCTTTCAAAGGGATTTGCACTTCTGCTTCCCTAGGTGTTTTGAAACATCACTGCTATTTACGTGCTCTGAAGGGGGTAGCAACTTGGCCTCTGGAGAAGGCAGCAAGGCTGTGTGCCTGAGGAACAGGGCATATGATGGAGCTGCGAGGCTTTCTCCAGAGCAGCAGAGCCCATCATTCTGCAGTGCATGAGCTTTTTCTCTCACCCCAGCTAACTGATGCTGCTACGCCTTCAGGCTCTGCACTCCAAACGCCACCATTTCATTTTTTATTTATATATAGCCTTCTTCCCCCTAGTTACTACTCCAGCTTGAGCCACTGACTCTGGCATGAAGCCCAAGTGAGTCAGCACAGTTGAGTTGATCGCCTTGAGCAGATGTTGCTCTGCCTCACACCTTGCCTAATGTGCAGCACCTCGCTTGGGTACAAGTACTCCTGAATGTGTGGGACACTGCACCTGGGTGATGGGCCTGCCTGGGCAGGGGCTTGCTTGAGATGCGGCCATGCAAAGGCAAGGCAGGGGAGAGAGGAGATATGCCTTGCTCATATCTGCTCTGGAGAATGGGTGTAGCCCTTCTTTCCAGCCCTAATAACAAAATCTGAGAGAGTTTTGTCAGAGGCTTGGGATTTGGCTGCATGGCCATAGCAAAATTCATACTTAAATTTTTGTGTCTGTTTTCTGAACACTGTTAATATTCAGGTGCCACTTGGATATGCACTGGGCACTGTGGGAAACTGCAGTCAATAGTGAAGTTGACATGCCAGCTTTGGAGTAATTTTAGATATCTGATAAATGGAAATGTTGCTTGAACATTTGAGAGGGTTGTTGGCATTCAGCACAAGCTCAGCTGCTACAGGCAGAACTTGGTGTTTCAAAGAAAGTATCATTAGAGAGATACTGATTTCAGAAGCAGTTTTGCCATCAGTGACAGTATTTAATAGCTTTCTCCTCTTTCATGTGCAGTCATCTGTCAATAAAGGATACCTTATCAGCTATAAGACTAAAGCAACAATTGTTTTGTGGGCTGTCAGCAGGCTGGAGACCATGTCATAAGAACTGATTAAAAAATAGCATTAAGGTGACTTCTGTAGCCTGGTTTGTCCTTCATTAAATTGAGCTAGTGAAGGGCTGTAGCATTAACGTATCAAGAAAAGTGGGCAGAACCATGTCAGTAAGGGAACTAGGAAGATTGAGGATTGAACTAAAAAGCAATGAAGCAGCAATCATCAGAGGCTTTCAGACTTCCCCATACACATTTATATCCAGGTACATTTATAAAATGGTATATGATTTAATAGAAGTGCTGTAGGTTATTATAAAGATTGCCCCATAGCAATCTGTGTCAGAGTAACTATTTTAAAAGCTTTGATATCATGTTAACCCTTTTGAAGCTCTTTAGAAACAACAGCTTTTTTCCAAGTCATGGTAGCGTAAGTAATTGTTCATAACTGTGGATCCCCTTAGTACTTCCCCTGTGAACTGCATTAACTATATCATGCCATTAACATCCAGTGTGCTTAACAGTACTCAGAAGCCAACGTTTATGCCTTTTTCTCTTCACCTTGCTCAGAGGGAGAACTGGAAGAAGAATGGCTGAAGGAGGCAGGTCTGTCAAATCTGTTTGGCGAGGGCTCTGGCGACTCCCTGGAAAGCATGCTTTTTCTGTCCACACTGACCCGAACCCAGAAGGCAGCGGTAGAAAAGCGAGTAGAGACTGTCACACAAACCATGAGGAAAAAAAACAAACAGCACCAGATTCCTGATGTCAGAGATATCTTCAGGCTACAAAATGACTCAAAGGGAAAAGTAAGTTCCTGTTCATCATTTTGTTTCACTCTGGCAGAGAGAAGAGAAGGACATGTAGGGGTGGGGGGAGAGGAGAGGGACACAGCACAATGCTAGCAGTGGTGGAAAGCACGGCGAATTGTGAGTGGATTCAACTTCCTCCTTCCTCCAACAGCTTCCCCTCCTTTGGCAACTCCTTGCAAATTCAGTAGAGGTGGAATGTAGTGGGGGGAGTTTGTAAGCTCAAATGTATGTTCTGGAGGTGCAACTTCCCTTTCACTGTTCTACTTTGCATGTGTTTGCAGAAAGGATATTAACTCCATAAAAGCTTTCCGGGATCTGATTTGGAATTGACTACACCTAAAAATAACAAAATCTAATACCAGAGCAATTTAGGTAAAATATCATATAGCTTAAAGCAGTATAATTTCCCTTTCAAGTATGTTATTTCAGTAAAGCACAAGAAATACTCATGTTCCTGTATTTAAGCTACACATTGTAATGTTTGAAAATCACGTCACAGTGTTCAGTAGACTTCTGTGTCTCTTAAACTATGTGTTTTGATATTGATGATATCAGTGAGAAGTAATGCAAACAGACAAATGATTGTAGCCATTTAAGGTGTATAAACCAGAAGGTTAGAATATTTATTGAACATAGAAGTAACTGAAAAAAAACCCCAATGCTTTTAAACTTGTCTCCTTGACTGAAATAAAATAATACAAGTGTAGGCCCTCAAACCTATACTGCATTCCTTTCTCCAAAGCAACATAATTATTCAGAAATCATTGCTTGTGGTTATTCATCTAATCTGTCACAGCAAGCCTGTAGTGAAGTAACTTCTACAACCTCCCTAGGTAACTTGCCTCAGTGCTTTGTTGCTCTTCCATCATTAGAAAGCTTTTTATGTAACAAAAGAGGACTGAAGCCATCTGCAGCTGTATGAAGTCATTCCAGTTTAATAATAGCCTCTGAAAATCCTGTAACCTCCCTTCACCTGGAGGAAAGCAGGAGGAAAGGTAAAACAATAGCGTTGATGTTTTGCATCAACGCAACAATTGTGTTGATGTTTCTACTACATTTCCTGCTATATTCTCAAAGAGAAGCTAGACTTTTGGTACCTTGATAGCTTCCCAGTCTGCTTCTACTGCTCTGTGAAACAATAATAATTTTCTGGGCAGTCATGCTATCTTCTTCCACCTCTTGAAGTCCCCGATTTTAAAAAAAAGTAAATATACAGATGTGTCTTGGTAGGAGAAATCTTTAAAATTTGAATTTTTTTTCTCAGTATGAAGTTATGCAGCGCTTGAGTAAAATACAGTTAAAAATTCAGAGTGCTAAACATTCATTGTTGATTTGAGTGGCCAAAAAGATAATAAAAATAATATGTGGGTAAAAACCTATATGGGTATGTGTATACCCATATATACATGGGTAGAGATTGTCTACATGTTCTGAAATATTTTTTGCTGTAGTAAATGTCATCCAGTTCATAGAATGTGACACATCTTGAGACTGGGTAGTGCAGCACTGTAGAAAGGAGAAGATGGTTCAAATCCTTTCCTGTTTTGCTGCCTCTTTGAAGTGTCCTAGTTTTGCTGTTGGGAATCTAAGCTGTAAGTACAGATATTACTGTCAGGCCACCCTGCAAAAGGGATGGGATTGCTCTGTAGGGGAAGCAACCATGTAAGATTTTGCAAGAGGAAGGAATTTGGACTGAGGCAGTCAAATTGTCTTCTCCAGATTCCCTTTCCATATCCTTTCCAGTGCAAACTACGGCTTCAGGTCAAAGACTACATTTTCTTATTCTTTGCAACTCTGGAAAATTAAGTCTTATACCCACTTAGCTTTTTAGGAAGAAGGGGAATAGACTTAATTAACTTCTTTTTTAACTACCTAGATTTCAGATCCCCTTAGACTTTGGCAAAGAGTTTTCTACCAAAACACAAAGATGTGCTTCTGCATTACCCCTGTATTGCAGGAGTATGTGTTTTAATTCTGCACAGAGTCAAAGGAGTTTCTACAACCATGCATTTGGGGTTTATAAGCATGCATATTTATTGTTCCTTTCTTAGGTCTGTGATGGAAGTGAACCCTCAACTGTGAGAACAAGTGAAAACAAAAATGAAACACAAGATGGAACCAAAGGTAATGCTAAACAACTCAGTTGTTTGTTTGTTTGTAGGCTTTCAACTACACAAGCTACTACATAGGTCCATATTTCAAGAAACTTTTCAGCAAAAGAAAATCAAATTTTAGGAGAAACCTGTTCTGGCCTGTGTATCTGTGGTGTAAAATTTTTAAGTGTGGCTGCACATAGTGTTCTTTGAGCCGTCTGGGAAACCTTGTTTGTTACCAGTGATAATCTTATAATCATCTGGGAGAAGTCTCTCATATCTTATGTTTAGGTCTTTACTGATCCTTAAGTTACCCTTCTGGTTTATCTCTACTGTATAGAACAGGAAATGAAGCACTATACATAAGTTCATCAGTGCATACAAGAGAACAAAAACAAATGGACTATAAATATCCAAAAAAAGTGAGAACTGGCTATATATCTGCAGCTCAAAATGAAAGAAAAACAGGGAAGGAAGAAAAAAGTTGTTGACTTTTTTAAGGCAAGCGGAAAGGAAATAGTGTTCTGTGTGTGTAGGACAGGGTTGTGTTCAACAGCACGTGATTAGACAAAAAGGGTGCAGTACCCATGAAAGACACCTCCTTCTCACTGCCAGGTAGGACAGAGCATCACAGAAATCCTTAGCTGATTCCATAGTTTCTGTTTTGACAGTATGAATTTTGATGAAAGACTTTGACAAAGCTTTCTGGTGTTCTTCAAGTCCAATAATAAATGGGTGGCTGCCCTGCATCATCTTAGGTTTCTTCAAAGTAGGGGTTGCACCATGTCTGTTATACCACCATACCCATCACTGTAGAGATGAGGATATTAACTGGTAGCCATTTAAGCTTTAAGATACTGCATTGCTATTCTGCACTGTTTGTATGTTGGGATTTTTTTCTTTTCCTGGGGGACTGGATAGCATATAGGTGTTACACTGAACCTTGTAGCCACTTAAATAGTCAAGCAGGCAGATCAAGTTCCCTACTGCAAGTTCCTTACCTGTAATTAAGCCACCAAATAAAATTCTGCTCCTGGTCTAGAATACTGACTAGTAGTATTTTGGAAGAATTGTTACTTTAGGATTAGACTTAGAAGACCGCAACAGACAAGACAGGATGAGCATGGAAATTGAAGTGGGAGATATTAATATAAACCAGCCCTGAATATCGCCAAATCTGTGTGTTTCCAGAAGTGCTGTTAATCCTTCCCTCCCTCCTTTCAGCAAACCTCACTCCAATATGAAGGGAGGACTGCCAGACTGCTGGTTCAGCACAAGGGAAGGAAGAGGTGCCTGGTGCTTGTGTCAGTAAACTGCACTGTAGGATTCAGAGCTGGAAAATTACCAAGCAATTATTACAGAGTTTTTATCACATCTGGTTCTTTTTTTCCTGTGGCCCTGATGAACCCTTCAGAAATGGGAAGTCCTGAAAGGCAAATCCCATATGCTAGCTCTCCTCAGCACAGATTGTGATGTGGATGGCAAATGCAGCCTGCTTATATCCTGATACACTTCTGCTCTTGTCAACATGCTAAAAGTGGGCTCTGCTCCCAAGATTGGAGCAGGAAGAAAAAATCAGTTCAATCTGCAGTCAAACCATGCAAGTTCAGTGGTGTCAAACGCACTGCACCTGTTTCAGTGCTGTGCTGTGCTGTGATCTTTCCTCCAGAATGATGAGCAAATTAGTGTTATACAAACAGTGAATGAATTTAAGGCAAAAAGTAAACAATGCCTGATATTTCAGAGATACTAAATATTTATGAAATCCAAATCCAAAGACAGTATTTTAAAATGGAAACCCCCTTTGACAGAGAAGTAGTACCCGTTTTACCTGAAAAATACGAGTATCATCTCAGACATTATAAAAAAATCTAAAGCTTAAATTCAGATGTCTTAAAACTGTTAGAGTGGATGACTCTGGCCCTTCTCCAAAGGTGATGACTCTGTTCCTAATTTGGTATTTGAATGCTGCATTCCCAAATGCTTCTGCCAGACTGAAGTTGATAATGGTTTGCCCTTAGAGCATATATGGGCTATGTGAACCTGCGCTCACTCCTCCTTTCTTGCCAGTCTGACACACCTTGTTTCTTGCCTAAACAATGTAAGCAAACTCAGGGAATAATACAAAACCATTGTTTTTATTCTTTTCTGCCTGATACTACTCAAACAGAACAGTTTAATGAGTTCCTGAGATTTTTTTGTTGGTAGATGCATGTTTGAGTTTTTTTGGAAGGACGTTCAATTACTGGCTTTAAGTGCCTCTTTTTTTCATGTAGGAACAGAATGTGTCTACAGAAAATGAAAAGAAAATTCAGAACCATGTATTAAGCTGTCAAAAGACATTATCATTTTAACAATCCATAACACTCACTAAAGACCTGCAAAGCTAGCAATATGTTCAACAGCTACGAAAGAAAAAAAGTAATTCTCTTTGGAAGCCTGTGAAAAGGAGTAAATAACCGTGTTGGTTGAGACATCTCAAGAAATAAAAAGGAAAGAATAAAGCAGATGAAAAGCTAAATACTCGTTAGCTTAAATAGGGGAGCAGCAAAAGTCAGTTTACTGTGGGACTGCAGTTGTCCTAAGCACGTGGGATTAGCTACAAGGGAAGAATGTTAGATAAAACCTCTGTATAAGGGCAGTCTCAAAACGTAATGATCTGGCAAATGGATGAAAGAATTGCATGTATTATGCGTAACATGAGGGAAAAGAGCTGTAATATTTGCTTCCTGATAGGGAAAAAGACTGAAACGTGGTTATATTTGTTAATTAAAGAGTTTGTTTCTGCTTTTCATTTTACATGATAAATGAGGAATCTATGGCCACAGTGATAGAGTGTTAGTGAAAAGATTACAAAGTTTTTTTTATTTTCTATTTAAAATCATCTATGAATTGGCATTTTAGAGAAATGCTTTGTCAGTCAAAAAAAAAAATCAGCCATTCTACACTTCCAATTATAAATTAAGATCTATCAGCATAGCTCCATCTGGGTATACTCTAGATTCTCTAGCAAAACTAGGAAATAGCAAAGCTGACACTTAAGCTATTTCCATGTCCTATTAAAAAGAAACCAAAACATAACCCCCACCCCACTCTTGAATAATTCCCATCATTTTATGTGATCTTTAAATAGCACTGTGAAACAAGGAAAGGGTACAGGACTACTGTAAAAGACGGTTTCCACATCCTTATAGACAATATTTACATTTTTCTGTATCACACTTGCATTTCTCTCATGAAATACTGCATGTAGTTGGCAGGTTGGCAGAACACCAAAGCTGCTTCCTCTTACAGCTGCTTCCTAGTTAATGAATGCATAACAATAGGAGCAAGGCTATACGACCAAGAAGAAACTCCCCACAACAGCAACATTTCCAGACATGTGCTGCTTAAAATGTGCACAGCATTACCAAGACATCTGCTTTACACGGCACCTTCATATGACCAGAGGACTGAAATAGGAGCCACTGCTTTATTGTTTATTAACATCAGATCCCTCCCAGGCTGGTAGGAAGTACGTAGGTCACGTATAGGCCACATTAGCATGACAAAAGTCTTGGGGGTACAGGGAACAGTTTTCCTTTAGTTCGCATGCGTTAAACAGTTTACATTGATATATACAGATAAACACACAGGGAGCCCAAAGATCGAAGCCAGGGATGAATTTGACCTTGGATGCATTTGGTTACTGAGGTCTCACATATCTCTTTACCAAAAGCAGCAGCTCTAGTTTCAGGATCAGCTTAATCTTTAGTGTATGCCCCAGGCATCTTTCGGGGTCTATGGAAAGTGAGCAGAAGCCACTCTGGAAAGAGCAAGTGGCGAGTGACACGCACAACAGGCAAAATTTGGAAATGTTTTATTCTACTTCTCATAGCATTGCTTGGTTGTAAGTAGAGTCAAAGTGTTAACTCAAATCCACTTCTCTGTCTGGAAGTGTCTCAGCTCCAGATCAACTGGACTGACGTGGGAGTGGTTGTGTAATGCACTGTGCCCTGCGAGAGAGTGGTTGTGGTGGCTGCAGCCACTTGCCCATCAAGTCCCCTGGCCCTGGCAGACTGAGGTAATTTTCAGGACTCACTCTAAAGAATATCAGAGACTAGTCTTGGTTTTGTGTCTTTCAATTAGATGCAGATAAGGTTCAGAAAAAAAATTGAGTTGGTGTAATTTTTTTATTATTTTTTTTTTTTTTAGAACTTGATACTTCATATGTTGTTTGGGTTGCATGCTTGCAGCTCAGCTCTTTGCAGACTGCTGAAAGTATCAGTGTAGAACAGCACTTCCCTGACAGCTTCTCTCTTAATCAGCCTATCTGCAGCCTTTCCCCTGCTTCAAGGTCAAATTTTGCTGTACCTGTAACTATTTTCTGGGAATTTTTTTCTGGCTTGGCTTAGCATAGATATTCCAAGCCATACAAAAACTTCCCCCAGCGGTGTGAGGAAATTAATCTATTACGTTATGCAATATTCTTACACCAAAGCATATGCACTGCTTATGGTTCTCCTCCTCACCTCACGTCCATTTCCATCCCACTTTTCCTGCACTTGTGGTATGTTAGTTTTGAACAGGCTGTAGTCTCCTGTGAGTAGGGTCCAGTGACAGAATCATGGTTCCACTGAAATGAGCAGGGTTGATTCGTTTATATTTGCCCTGGTTTTAAGAAAGTCTGAATTGCATCACAAATACTTGCGCAGTATTTGCAATGTCTTGTACAAGGACCCTAGTCCTGGATGTATCCTTTAAGAAGTACCACATCACAAGAGAGATGGTAGAGAGATCAGAATCTTTCTCTGGCTAAGTTGTCTTTGGTGCTTTGCATTAAATAGTGTTATTTACAATATTATTTTGCTCTTGCTTCTTTCATGATATATTTTAACTTCAGACTTAAAAGGAATGGTTGATTGACTATGAAATTAGACTACTTCTTCTAAAAGCAGAACTGCCTCTCCCTTTTTCTCCTGGGGTTTTTTTGGGGAACAAAGAAAGAGAAGTAAGGCCACTGCTGTATATTTAGTCTTTCCCTGTATCATGGAAACATGTCCAAACAGTTTTGAGGAATCTAGACTCTTCAGACCGAGGTGAGGACAGGAATGTTGGGACAAAGACATGATCTGTGTACTCCCTGTTATTCCCAGATATTAATGCTTTGGATCATAGAGGAAACATTCTCTTTTGCTTTTGAAATTTTAACAACAGAAAGAATTACTGATTTGGTTGCAGGATGATATAGTCTTTGAGGCTGGAAAGTTTTTGATGGCAAGAAACTTCTGATGCCAAAGCTGTTTGGCTCTGGAAGATTCTGGGAGTCTGCTGCTCATTTGAGGTGGATTGCTTTCTCTTTTCATAATAATAAGAGAAAACCCCATGACTTGGCAGAATTATTCAAGAAAAACTACAACAGATGGACCCTTGTAAGAAGCTAAATTTTCAACAGACATAAAAAATGCAGAAATCAGTGAATTTGCAACCAGAAAGTCCATCCCTTCCACAGCATTAACTTCTACTTGGTTTTGAATTTACTGTCATGCAGCAAGCGGTGCTCCGTTATGCTGCTGTTGATTATTAGCTTTTTTTTTACTCTGTTTTCAGGTCCAAAGTTCAGTCTTGGAACGGATGAGCAGAAGAGCCCACTTGAAGACATGCCGTTTTCAGACACTGACATCAATTTGGAGATATCATTTGCAGAACAGGCAGCTAATCTCAAAGACAGTTCAGTAGGCAAAATGTGCAAGGGTGGAGGGGGTGACACTCTTCTCCCGGTAGGTATTTCCTATTTATTGCTCTCATTCTTTGTTTTCACTAGTGCTACTGTTTGGATGATATTTATCTGATAGTGGCTGAATTAGATTTAGAGGAGTGTTGTTGGATCCAACTTCATTGAGACAGACCATCTGAAGAGAACTCATTTTTGGGAATGGTATTCTCGGTAATATGGAAGTAGCTACTTTTATGCCTATTTGTGTCACTGTCTGTCTGGCAAAATGCACTCTGTGTAAGCAATAATGGGCTGGTAATATTAAGCTGGAGTAGTGGCTTAGTTGTACACAAACTGTGTCCTTACTTCATTTGTTTACAGCCTGTTTTCCTGTTATCTGAGGTGAGATGCTTTACCTCTGTAATAAAAAGCTCTGTTGTCATTTAAAAAGAGTTGGTGGATGCCTGTAGAAACATTGTGCAGTTATCCAATGCAGATGGGTGAGGGATGAGAATGAAGAACGGAATGGTCTATAGAAGTCTAAAGTCAAATGGCAGGAAATTAAGCATTAGTTTGTGCTCAGTTTTTCTTTCCAACTCTTAACAAAAAAAGGCTCATTCTGAATGAATCCAAATAAATACAAAATAAGACCCTCCAAGGCATTTGTTGTTGATGCTCAGGCATCTCTTTGAGGATCTCCCTCTACCTAACAGTTCATGAACATGCAGTTACGTATGACCAGTAAACTAATGACTGGTGTGAAAAATGTCTTTTTTTTTTTTTTCTAACGGTCTATGCAAACATGTCTGAGTAAACATAGAGTCTGAAGTAATAATGTTTCACAGTTCTTCAAACACTTAATTTAGATAAGGATATGTGCAGTTCTTCAAATAGTAATTACCCTGTGTATCCTATTTTAAACATTATAAACCAGACACTAATGGATATTTAAAAATGGATTCTAAAGTGTTTGAGTCATGTTTCTCTAATGCAGCCTATAACAAAGAAACGATTGCTATACGCTAACTTACTTCTGTATATATGCACATATATATGCATAATACATACACTAGCTGTATTTTTAGCTAGGCTTATGAAGGATTGCTCAAAGACATGGCTATGGGATTTCTCCTTCAGTGATGAAAGGAGTGGCAAAATGATAGGAAAGGGAAAGGAGTTACCTATTTAAATCTACAATTTATATTTGTTGCACCTTCCTCATTCGCAGCTATTTTTAAACATACATGTTTTTGCAAGCCAGTGAAACATCATGGTGGGAGACTGATTATGTATCTACAATTTATAAATTATATTTATGTTTTGGTATGTGCCTTTCTAGTCATGTACCATAACACCAATTCATCTGTGCTATTGCCGGGTTTGTACAGGATGAGAAAATAATTCTGGAGTATAATATATCTTTCCAAATGGAAGAAAGTCTTGTCAACCTACCTGCTTTGAGTCATGCATACTGCTAATGTCAGGCACAGGCAAGAGTCTTACTTAGAATCCTGCAGGTGAGAGATGGCGTTAAAAAGGTCTATGAGCTGGGAAGTCCCTCACCCTCTCAGCTCAATTCCTTATACTGGTCTCCAGTTACAGCTTCTGAACATTTACTGCAGTAGGAATGAGCCATAATTAAGAAGGGAATCCTTTTATTATTATTTATATGGCAGCCAAATATGTTACTTTGTGTGCATAAGTGCAGAGGGATTCTATTGCAATTGTACACGCATAGGATTGCTCATGGACAGCCATTTCCACCACTGTAAATTGCAAAACGATGCAGCAGGTCGTGGTGTGGAGGGGTGGAAGGTGGTTACAAGGAGGACAAAGCCAGATTCTTCTTGGAGGTGCACAGCAAAAGGACAAGAGGAAATGAACACAAGTGACTACAGGGGAAATTCTGTTTTGCAAAGTAAAAAAAAGTCCCCATGAGAGTATTAAGCACTGGAACGGGTGCCTGCAGAGGTTGCTGGGAGTTTTCAAAATCTATTTGGTCAACACAAAAAGCAACCCTATCAGACTTCGAATTTGGCCTTGCTTTAAGCAGGCAGTTGAATTAGATGACCTCCAGAAATCACTGGGAACCTAAATCCTCCTATGATTTTACGATCATCTGTTTTTCAAGCTATTTTGGGGAATCTCCTGTGATTTAGTAACAGCAGGCTTCGTGATGGAAGGTTGTGACCTGAAGGAAGCACAGCCTTCAAGCTAAGTAATTTGTTATGACTTAGATTGTTCACTGTGCTGCAAATCTCTGCTTTTAGAATTTCAGGCTGCCGAAGGACAAAACAGGTACCACAAAAATTGGTGACCTGGCCCCTCAGGACATGAAGAAAGTCTATTCTTTAGCACTGATTGAATTAACTGCTCTCTATGACATACTTGGGACAGAATTCAAGCAGCAAAAAGCTGTAAAAATCAAAACCAAAGGTGAGTTGGTGTTTCATATTCTGAGCCAAATGGGTCTGTTTTAATCCAATAAAACAAATGCATCGGGTTCTTTTTGACTTTCCAGCAGAAAATTTATTTTAATATATAAATAGTAACATAGGTCCTGAGCAGCATTTAATTATATGCCTTAACTCAAGGCACACTTTAAGGAAGTTCATGCATATAGTCACTCCAGCTATGGGATAGTGCTCTTTAGATAAAGTTAAAACTCAGGTCAGTCACTGAGCAGGTAAACCAAGAACTGAAGAAGGGGAACTACCTTAGTAGCGTGCTGTGCAGGAAGAATTGCTTCACAGAAGTTTGTAGGTGCTGATACATTCCCTGGGAGGGCATGTGTATGAGCACTTTGTGGGTATTTTCCTGCTTTCCTGAAGGGTGGTACTGTGCTACTTTTACATTTGGACTTAATCTTAAAGGTCTTTTCCAACCTAAATAAGTCTATGATTCTGTGATGCTACCTGACTTTTTTGCTTTCGTTGCCCTTGGCTGGAGATGCTGGGAGCCTTTGTGGCCCGCTTTCCTCTTCTGTCTGGTACAAAGTTTCCTGTGTCACATAGGCCTTTCCCATCCAGTATTTACTCAGGCCATAATGCAGTTTTTATGCTGAATGGCATCATATTAAGTGGAAGATTTGGGCTGTTGCAGAGGGTGTCAAGATAGCTGCAACACGTCATTTTGCTCTGCAAGCCGTTGGAGCGTACATATAATCACAGTGCTTTTCTTGGGAACAAGGACACATGGAAATCAATTTCAAGATGCTAGAGGTTTTCAGTGCTTTGTTTGTTTTCTGTATTTCTGGCTTTTGCTAAATGCTTTACAAGAGCTTGAAATGTGTTACCAGTTGATCACAAGCCTGCTTTGGCCAAAACCTTCTTGTCAAGGTTCAGTGAATGTGACAGTGCAATAGCTCACTTGAAATAATTGAAGGCAACAGAGAGGCTTGAGAGATATACAAGGTACAACAGATTATTCAGAATATGCTTTTCACTTTACAGTAGTAGAAAATAACTTTTTAAATGCAAAAGGCATACACAGAAACATCTGCAAGACCTTGATCCCTTAAATGCATTTTTTTCTTGCAGAAGTGCTTGTGCTTTCACTAATAAACAGAGACAAAACACTTTCTTCTCTTGTATTTTGGGTCTTACTTTTAATTGATTCTTCTTACCAAATTTATTGTTAATTTAATTTCTGTCATAGCATTATTATGTGAATGACAGGCAGTCATGAAAAACATTGAATTTATTAAAAACTTTTTTAAAAGTTAAAAAAGATAGGCTAGATGCATGGAAATGTGTAGGAAATAGACAGTGTCACCCTTTCTGCCAAACAAATCTGCTTTTACAATGTAATGCATTCAGTGGCTTGTTGCTCTACCTGACCCTCACCTCTTCACTACTGAAGTGTTGTTTGGCCAATTAATTCGTACAACGGTGGATCTATTGGCTGTTCCCCTTTGTGTATGTAAAGAAGATGAAAACATAGTTCTGGGGAATGCTGTGCTGTGCCCAGCCCTGCCTTTCTATTGATCTCCTACACTTTATTTCTCCAACTTCATCTCAGCAGAAACTTTTATTATTGACAAGATCTTCAGGATGATAAAACTATGGGGTATGGATATTGACTGTATGTACGAGTCCCTACATATTTCATAGGTAGACTTTTTATGCTGAAGAGATACAAGAACTCCCTGATTTGGCACTGAAACTGATGTTTCTTTGACATATATCACGTTCCCTCAAGGGCTGACATCTTTTTAGTAATTACAGCTGTTCTATGCTCTGTTGGCATGGCATCATACCAAGCAGGAGTTTTTAGCTACATGTAGCGTTATATGCTGTTGCAGAAAAATTGCACGTACAGCAATTATCAGTACTTCTGACAGAGGAGTTCTATGTCAGCAAACTTTGGGTTAGTCATTACTAGTATAGCTCTCTCTTAATGGTCATTCACTTCTATTCAACTGGGCTATAAACACATGGGAGTCCCTTTTACTTGAAGGCTAAGGCTAGTTTTGCATCAGGGGTAGATTAATTGAGACTAGGTGCCATTTTTTTAATTTGCATTGCCTTAGCACTATTGTAAAGGCAATTTTCTAACCGAGACTTAACTGTACTTTTGCTTTCATTTAAAAATAAAAAAAAGGCAAAACACCTTTGGTGAGATGGTGATCTTGCTATCCTGCCAGTGCTGTATAATGCAAAAGCACAGGGGTTGAACAGCTCTTCCTTCAAAGCCCTCCTAGAGAGAAGTGTTCAGAGTAAATCTGGGTGGTAATTACATCTGTCTCATTTTAGTAGCCAAATTTCTGGATATTTTACTTATGCCATTTGCATCTTACCTATAATAACTTGCTTTGAGTGATGAAGATCTGCATTGCAGGGTCTTCATCACATCCATTCTGCAAACCAGAACCACGCAGATGGTTCATTTATGCAGTTTGCTTCACTGTACTGCAGAATATGTGGATGGCAATTTGAAGTCAAAACAGAAGACTCCTGATTTATGGTTGAAGGAAGAGATGAATGAATCCTTTTAGCCAGAATGCTTTGTGTAATAACTTGATTGACAAAGACATTCAAACACTTCGAACAAAAGGTCAATAGCTCTGAATGTATTGAATAGGCTTATCGCTTCAAAAATGTGGTTTTCTGCCATTATCACATGTACTGGAACAGATGTGGATAATATCTCAGTTTCTTTTGTGTTATTCTTCAGACTCTGGCTTGTTTGGTGTCCCACTCTCAGTTTTACTGGAACAGGATCAGAAGAAGGTGCCAGGAACCAAGATCCCACTGATTTTTCAAAAGGTAAATAGGCACAAACAAGTCAACTTGTTACATACTTGCAAATGACAAACAAATAACATTTTGTCCTGGATGTATTTGCTCTCTATAGCCCAGTTTTCAGTATATTACTCTAATCAAAGTTATTGTAACTTTTCTTTGCCGCTTTACTTATTAATTCAGTAAATGTGATACTTTGCTTTGTATCAGACGTTTTGAGTTAAAGGGATAGAGTTCGGGTTTTGTTACAACTGGTCTCCATGATTTAGGCAAGTTTACTAATAAGCCTGTGAAAATTGAAAATCAGTATAAGAACCCACTGCAGCCAAATTCCATTTCATAAAGGTGGTGTAACTTCCATTATTACTAGGGCTGCCCTTTATTTTCTTTCAGAGCAAACACTTGAAATTCCATAGAAATTCTCAGTCCCTGGCCCACAGGCTGAACCTACCTTTCTAGGATGTGGTTTTCTCCTTTCAGAAGTGATTTGGGCCACAAGGCAGGTGGCTAGGGGGTGAGAATCAGGCTAGATAACTGCCTGTGGTGGTGGCAGCAGCCCTTTTCCAGAAGATTTGTTGCTTTAGTACGTGGGGGGATGCTTTGGCCTGTATCGTGTCATGGTAATGGGGAAGATAATGGGAAAGATGATGGAGACCCTGGATTTACTGCCCGTGCATAGCAGGTCTCATTGCACGAGAAGGGGAAGACCACAGTGTGTGGACCTGTCCTAACACTGACTGAAACTCAGTGCTGTGTCATCACCATTTCAGTAGGTTTGGGGACCTGTTTGCTAAGTTATTTTTCAAGAAACAGAAAACTCAAAAGTAGTTTTGCATCACTCTCTCAAAACTATTGTGGTGTCATTCATGCCAGAAATTACTTCCTCAGGATCATAAAAATACATTTCTGGGAAGGATGCTCTTGAGAAAAAAAGAAATCAAATGACAAAAAGTGATTGATCACTCTCCTATCCTAGCAACATAGTAAGCATAGTCCTTCATGAAGAAAATTCTGCATAAACATTTCTAGCTTACAGATGTGATTTGTTTTGCAAGGTGCATACATCATTTGGAATACAGTTTTTCTTAAAATGAGAATATGAAAATAAGAAGTGTCCCATTTCTTCTGCCTGTTCTCTACAGCACGTGCTTTCCAAGAATTAGGGGATTTATATAAATTGCGAGAAAGAACATTTTTGTGCATACTGCTTTTTAAATGTGCCTTGCTTATCACTGAAATGAAACAAACCAAGCTAACAGGAAGGCTGCTTAATTAAAAAAAAATCTTTTAATAAAAAATACACCTACGTTTTATTTCATTGAGGAATTATGGTTAAAAATAATGACATAATTTAGCCTAGGATTTTTCTGACTGGAAAATCTGAGGGTCATACCGATCCATGTATATCCACCGGAAGTTTCTGCTGATATTAATTCAGGTCCCTGACCTGCTAAAGAAGCCATGCCAAGCAGCCCTGATAGAGATGAAGAGGGGATTTCCTGTAGGCAGGAGGCTGGTGGTGGCCAGTGGCCACCTCTTGCTGCCTGCCACGGGGGCACTTGTGAGTGAGTGTGTGCAAGGAGTGGTGGCTGCCAGCAGTGCAACCAGACCTTGCCTCCCCCTAGATGTGGTGATGGTGGCAAATCACACAACATGCTCACAGCGTCTTTGTGTCCGACAGATGAGAGTAGCAGCCACTGCTCTGGTGTAAGCTGGGTACAGGGAGAATTGGATGTGGCTAGTTAGCACTTTTTATTTTTTTTTAACCAAGGAAAATACACTAGGGTGACACCTTTAGTGCTGTTTTCTAACTTTGTGGCTTTTTCTGTCTGATCTTTTTATGGCATTTATCAGTTACATAAATACCGTGGTAGGCAAAACTCCTTTAATTTCTGTAACTGGAGAAAACAAAACTGTGTTGCATAATTTTTCTTACTCAAGAGCTGGCACAGGAAGGTATGTAACAAAGGCACTGCTCTAGTTGAACGTTGTGAGACCCATTTGTGATGTCATCAGCTTTTGACGTTTACAAATTTCTTTTGAGTACTCTTAGATCCATCCTTCAGTGAATACTTATAGGCATATCTTCTAAAGAAACAGAATTTATGATACATGTTTTACGTACTTTTACAGAATTCCTACTAGTTTATCTAAGCCATGTGTGGGATTGCAAACTGTTGAGTTTGCTAGGAGAATGCCAGTATTTGCAAAACTGAGACTTCTTTAAAGCCTAAAAGTACTTAGTTCTTCTCTGGTAAAGTCATAAAGAAGAGTATTTGTGAGAAAGTTAGTGCTTTATCTCTAATGTTACCTTAATTGTTTTGATTTGTAGACATTTTAAGAAGGGTAGTAATTGGGATTTATTTTTGAAGCCAGAGTAATTTGGGGAAAAAAATGCTTCAGTCTTTGGAGGAGATTTGAAGGAGGTCTAAAAAATACAGTTTTCTTTTTTAATAAAATAGACAAACTCTTCTTTGATATTGTTCATAAAACAGGTAAGAGCAGTATTAAAGGTTTTGTTCTACATCTACAACAACTGTAATCCATTTGTAAACTGTGTGTTTGTGTGTCTGCTCGTTACATATGTGTATGCTCAAATGCATGCATATACATTGTCGTGGTTTAACCCCAGCCAGCAACTAAGCACCACGCAGCCGCTCACTCACTCCCCCCCATCCAGTGGGATGGGGGAGAAAATCGGGAAAAGAAGTTAAACTCCTGGGTTGAGATAAGAACGGTTTAATAGAACAGAAAAGAAGAAACTAATAATGATAATGATAACACTAATAAAATGACAATAGTAGTAATAAAAGGATTGAAATGTACAAATGATGCGCAGGGCAATTGCTCACCACCCGCCGACCGACACGCAGCCAGTCCCCGAGCGGCGATTCCCCGTGCCCACTTCCCAGTTCCTATACCAGATGTGATGTCCCATGTTATGGAATACACTGTTGGCCAGTTTGGGTCAGCCGCCCTGGCTGTGTCCTGTGCCAGCTTCTTGTGCCCCTCTAGCTTTCTCACTGGCTGGGCATAAGAAGCTGAAAAATCCTTGACATTAGTCTAAACACTACTTAGCAACAACTGAAAACATCAGTGTTATCAACATTCTTCACATACTGAACTCAAAACAGCACCATACCAGCTACTAGGAAGACAGTTAACTCTATCCCAGCTGAAACTGGGACATACATACACACAGATACATACATAAAGGGTCCAATATAGCAGAACTATTTACCAGTAATTTTTAACTGGCATCTTTGTTCATGCAGTTTGATTTGTGTTTGACAGCTGATTGCCCAGATAGAAGAGGCAACTCTGGAAACAGAAGGACTTCTTAGAATACCAGGAGTTGCAACAAGAGTAAAGGTAAAACATTGCACAGATTCTCAAAATCATCCCAAACTTACCTGTGTTTGCTCATTTTATTTTGCCATACAAATATATTTTAACACCAGGTTGTTATGAAAATCTTCAAAAACAGAAAGCAAAATCTCTTTACAAAGGAAACTGAGTTTTATTAGCCAGAAAGCTGATGGTTTCATCCAGTGTAGTTCTGGGGAGAAGACTAGAGTTCACGTTTGAAGGAGAATCAAAGCTACGTTTCAAATTCAGTTGTACCAAGATCTCATTAATTCTTGGCACGAGCTTTCCAGCCTTTTGCTTTTTCCCTGAACCAGCTTAATCATCTGAACAGTTCGCACACAGTCTTTCTACCCCAGGAGGAAGCTTTTCTCTGGCATTGTGAGCCTATTTTAATAGCTAGACTTAACCTGCGTTATAGGGCAAGGCAGCCAGCATGCACTGAAGAACCTCTCACATTTATTTTTATGAACAGCAATATAACTACTTATCTCACTAAGTGTAATCTTGTTAGGCACGTCCGTGCACACCGACACTTTGCAGAGTGAGTACCAATTACATGCAGACTCTTCCTCAGTATTTGCCTTAACGCAGGAAACTAAATACACAGTATGATTCATGCCAAGAGTCAATGTGTTAAAAAGACGGTCTGAACTGGCCTTAAATTCTAAACAGAAAGGACCATTTAAGTGGATTCAGCTGTCCGAAGAAGTCTGCCAGCTTCTGTAGCGTAGAACTTGGTCCAGCAGCTGGTTCATTAGAAACAACTGAAGGAAGGAAATATTATGGAAATTGGTTTTGTTTACTTACCAGTAACTAAGATTTTTTTTTTTTTTTTTTATTACCGTTTTCCTCCATTCTTTATTTTCCACATTTCATCAGTTCTGCAAACTGGAATGATTTTGGAGTGGTTTTGTTTATTTGTTTATTCTTTGATTTTATCAGTTTAATATGATTTCCCAGGCAGGGGATCATTCACTATTTGATTTTCATTAATTTTTTACCTCTTTATTTGCAGGAGCTGCTTCTTTGAATTAAGCGATTGTTTTGTTAGCAAAGACGTTAAGTTCCTTTACTTATTCAAATAGGAAATTTTATAGAAAAACAAAGAACTTAGCATACTAAAGGGCTGATGTTTTCTCTTAATTTTCTTAAACTTTTTTTCTCCTATAGAAAAAGAAAATATTTTCCTCATGCAGTTTTACAGAAAGGCAGAGATAATATCAAGAAAAAATATATCGCTATCTTATTCTATAGATTTTAGAGTTATTAAAAAAAATGCATTGCATATACCCCATAGTTAAATACATTTACTTTAACATCTAAGCACTGGTGCATTAGGACACACAGTTGACATTTCTGCCCTTGCCTGTCAGATAAAACAATTCATTTTATCTAGATGTTTAATACTGTATTTGCCACAGTGATTTGGTCTGAATGTGGATGGAGGAGGTGATGAGACTCGGGGAGAATTTTCATCTTTATTTCTAAAGCTTGCTTTTGTTGATGAGCAGGAAATCCTACCCACTTGACTTTAGACATCTGAGTTAAGATCTTTGCACCTTTGAACGCCCTAAGTAATCAGTGAAGACAGAAGATCTCTCTGGAGGGCAGTTGAGAACATCCAACTTCTATAGCAACCTAAGTCTCCACATTTTCTTTGGAAATAGATCCATTTTCCATTTGGACAAAGTTAAATTTAATGAGAACAGTATCTTAAAAATGTATTAGTATCCTCTATCCAATGTGCCCTTCTTGTCCAGATAATAATGAAGGCCATATTTTTCTGTAGCACTGTCCCTCTCTTCATCTCACATACTTGACAAAACAAGCCAGTGTCTCTGTCTCTGTCCTCCTTTTCTGTCTGGAAGAACTGAAGCAAGAAGGGAGGGACTTGTGAGATGCCACTGGCCCTATACTGAGGCCATTTCCCACTCTGCTGGACTGGGAAATAAATGAAGTGGATGCAAGGCCGGGACTGATGCTTAACAGGAGACTAAGAAGGACTCAGTCTTTACAGCATGTTCCCATTCGTACATCTCTCAAAGCCCAGTAATAGCACTGCCGTGGGAACAGGGCAGGTATATGGTAATGTCCACTGCCAACAGTATCCTGCCCTTTCCCAACCCCAGAGTTATGAGATACCACAGATTTTCAGTGCTGTTTATTCTGTTGCATAACCTCATGTTTTGCAGTACAGTCCCCTACCGTAGAGGGCATGTTTGACATCCAGTGCTGGGCAAAGCTGTATGTGCCCAGCGGCATGGAGTTCCCTGTAGATGGCAAGACATCCAGCTATCCAGTCACACAAATCTTTTCCCTGTGTTTTAAAAGGAGAACCAGCCTCTTCTTAGTGTATGTTTTGATAGGAAACTGTGTGTCAACATGCATAATTGCCATATTTGTTTATGAAAATGACCATGCATGCATTACAGCAACACCCTTTGGTAGTAGTTTCAGAATTGCTATGTATATCAGTCATGTCTTAATATTTTGGGGCAGGGGAAGTCATAACCCTTACGTGAATGAGTATGATATCTGCTTTTTATAGTATATTCTGTATGGCCCTGAGGCAGGCCCACGGGATTTCTTCCTATATGATTTGGCAGTCTGCTGCCTGTTACTACAAGTTTGCTTGCAGTGCTTCTGATCCCCAGTTTATCCTTTTGTAGCTAAAGATCAGTGGCAGCTAGAGTTAAGTGATATTTCAGATATCCCTTTTTTCCTCCCTTTCAAAGTATGGAAAGTATTGCTGTGTGTATAATGCATGACTTCCAGCAGCCAAGTGTTATTGGTGCTCTCTGTATCTACTGCCTTTCAGAGTCTTTGCCAAGAACTTGAAGCAAAATTTTATGAAGGGACTTTCAACTGGGAAAATGTAAAGCAGCATGATGCAGCAAGTCTTTTAAAACTCTTCATCCGTGAACTGCCTCAGCCACTCCTCACTGTAGAATATCTCAAAGCTTTTCAAGATGTACAGAGTGAGTAGTGTCCTTTCTGTCTCAGCTGTGAAGAATTGATACCAGTGCAGAGAAATGCCTCTTTGCCATAGCAGTATTTTCGCTGATAATATGTGAAACTGAGAAACAAATTGAATAACAACAATATGACTTCTCCTGAGAAATGACTGGGCATATTTTTGCTAATGTACAAATAACATTTTTCATGTAATATATATTTTGATAGTTTACATGTAAAATGAAAACACACTGCCACTTTCTGATAAGATGTTTCTGACAGTCATTAGGAGGTATAGAAGGGTTATAAGGAAATTGTGTCTAATGGTATCAGTTTATAAACAATGTTTGCTTCAGAAGAAAAGGTATAGTAGTTCTGCAGAAAATCTAACAAATGGTAATTTATACTGTTCAGGGTATTTTATTCATTTAAAACAGGAAAAGTTAGAGCAGAATAGTCAGAGCTGCTGATCGTGCCTGGTCCCTTGAGATCAGCAAGCTCCTGTGAAAATGTCCTCCTTGCCAACTGGTCACCAAGACAGCAAATGTACCAGCTGTAATTGAAAGAGAATGGCTTGATGATAACGAATCAGGAGTGAGAACCCACATACATTAACTCCCCAGCCAACACAGGAGTGCAAGTCTATTCCCCTTGTCTGCAGGCAGAACGATGGCTCATTTCTAAGGAACGCTTTCAGGGAATTCCCATGGACAGGCAGGCAGACAAATATTCTTAAAAACTGGGCTGTGTCAGTCTCTGGGTTGTGAGCTGCCTTTCAAGGCCATTAAGTTGGTGGGAGCAGGGGACTGGTGCTCAGGCCTGCTGCATAGTGTTGTCGATTCCCGCACGACATCCTTGTCTCTAAATTGGAGAGACATGAATTTTATGGATGGACCACTCGGTGGATAAGGAATTGGCTGGATGGTTGCACTCGAAGAGTTGCAGTCAACAGCTTGATGTCTGAGTGGAGAGCAGTGACGAGTGGTGTTCCTCAGGGGTTGGTATTGGGACCGGTGCTGTTTAACATCTTTGTCAGTGTCATGGACAGTGGGATTGAGTGCACCCTCAGCAAGTTTGCGGACAACACCAAGCTGTGTGGTCTGGTCAACGTGCTGGAGGGAAGGGATGCCAGCCAGAGGACCTTGACAAGCTTAAGTGGTGGGCCCTTGCAAACCTCATGAAATTCAACAAGGCCAAGTGAAAGGTCCTGCACATGGGTTGGGGCAATCCCAAGCGCAAATACAGGCTGGGTGATGAGTGGATTGAGAGCAGCCCTGTGAAGAAGGACTTGGGGGTATTAGTGGATGAAAGACTGAATATGAGCCAGGAATGTGTGTTTGCAGCCCAGAAAGCCAACCATAACCTGGGCTGCATCAAAAGAAGCGTGACTAGCAGGTCGAGGGAGGTGATTCTACCCCTCTACTCTGCTCTCGTGAGACCCCACCTGGAGTTGTGTTCAGCTCTGGGGCCCCCAACATAAAGACATGGACCTGTTGGAGTGAGTCCAGAGGTCCACAAAGATGATCAGGGAGCTGGAGCACCTCCCCTTTGAGAATAGGCTGAGAAAGTTGGGGTTGTTCAGCCTGGAGAAGAGAAGGCTCTGGGGAGACCTTATAGCGGTCTTCCAGTACTTAAAGGGGGCCTACAGGAAAGATGGGGAGGGACTCTGTAACGGGGAGTGTAGTGATAGGATATGGGGTAACGGTTTTAAACTGAAAGAGGGTAGACTTAGATTGGACATAAAGAAGAAATTCTTTATGATGTAGGTGGTAAGGCACTGGAAGAGGTTGCCCAGAGAAGTTGTGGATGCCCCATCCCTAGAGGTGTTCAAGGCCGGGCTGGATCGGGCTTTGAGCAACCTGGTTTAATGGAAGGTGTCCCTGCCCATGGCAGGGGGGTTGGAACTAGATGATCTTTAAGGCCCCTTCCAACCCAAACCATTCTATGATTTTGCAGTACTGAGCAGCAAGTTAAAGCTGGCCAGAATGCTTTCAAATGATGTTGGCAGCAAACAGCTCCTCAAGGTTGTTCCACTTACCAGATCTTGACTGGAGCCAGGAAGGTTTCTGCTTGCTACTCCTGAGCTGTCTGAAGGCTTATGTGGTTTTACTTACCCAGAAAATACTCAGGTGCTAGGATTCAAAACACTTTCTACATTGAGCCAAAAGATTTGATGCAAAGCAGACATAGCACTTCATAGCCTCCCATTGTTTAAATTGTCTGCCTGTCTTGTTGGTTACATGTAATAAGATTAGGTGGTAGAGGAAAAAGGGCCATCTCTGTGACAGTAATCAGTGTTTTTCATGATACTGTGACTAAGTCGTGTGGTTAGAATTAAATATTTAAACAATTTAAACAATTTAATATGTTAATATAAGTAATTTAAATGACTAAAATTCAGTCATTATGCAGGTGAACAGACAGAACACCTTGATTTAAGTAACTAATTTTAATTGTTTTGTGGTTGTATATTTGCTTAGTTTCCTAGGAAAATGTTGATTCTCATTGCGTTTTGAGCATTGTGACATGGTGTTTTGGAAGTAAATTTAAACCTTACTTTTAATGTATGGCTTTCTAGAGCAAGTAGATACACTATTATTACTACTTGCATGTTTTAAATGGCTACATAATTTGTCACTCATTTATTCAGATCCTTAATTTTTATTATGGTAGAAAGTGGTCAGCAAGGGCTTTTTTTTATTTCATTGGTGAACATTTTTTTTTTTGGTGCTATCTCCCAAACTGATTTGAATGAAATGTATTTGAAACAGCAGTTCAGTTGGAATCCCAGCAGGATGCATGCGAACAGCCCTGCTGAATTTTGAAATAGTGTGATAAAACTATGTCAAGTGCAGGTACCTCCTTCTTCACTTGTTTTATGTATGGCCTGATTCATTAGGAATCTGCTGAGAAGACTTGCCAGAGCATGTCCTCTAAAGCATGACAGGAGGAAGCTTATCACAAGTGACAAACGTGCGAGAGTTGGGGCTTTCTGCTGCTCAACAGTGCCAGAACGTAGGAGGTCTTCTAGGAGGTGGAGGAGTGTAGGGATGCACTCATACTGCATCTTGGGTGAATGACACACCACTGAGCAGTTGGGTAAAAGGCAGACCCAACATCACTTTTCTTTAATTATAGCTTGCCATATTTGGTACGGCACTCACTGCTGTAGATATGTGTTAAGCTTCTCTGCTCTTGGCTTTATCCCCACTGGTTTGCCATTGCAGCTGCTGCTGCTTATGTTGCTGGAGACCTGCCTTATTCAGCAACACGTGGTATTCATTCTGTGTGGGTGGCTTGGGAGAACATGCAACTGTTAAGGCAATCAGAGAAACTGTGAAAGCAGTTTTGAATATACCCTTTCATATGTTGGGGCACAGGCTTAAAGAGGGAGGAACTGTTAGCTGACTATTTCTTCTTGTAACATTGCAAAATAAAGAATCAGAAGGCATCTAGAAAACATTGCCAGAAGACTGCTGAGTCATACAGCAACTAAATCCTAAAAGAACATTTGGAAATGAGTATCAGAAAACAGGGATCTGCCAGTCCTTTGTCATACTATGACAATTAGCCCTGTGTATGCATTCAGCATTTTGAGGTTTCTACTTTGAAATTGTGTTTTTTGAAGAGGACAAATGACAATTTTAAAATACTGAGGTTCGTGTGCTTCACTGGCAGATCTTCCAACGAAGAAGCAGCAACTGCAAGCTTTGAATCTTTTGGTTCTCCTTCTACCTGAAGCAAACAGAGACACTCTGAAGGTTAGAATTGCTAATACTTTTTTCCTATACAAATATTTTGTCTATTTCTGTGAATCCACTGTAATGAATGCTGTTGTCTTTTAACATTCTTTTTTTCAGTTCAAAGTTAATGCTGAAACTAGTGATTCTTTCTTTTTTCATATTTCACAGAACTTCAGAAAAAAACCCCTTAGGACCCTAATTCCTCCCAAATGACTTCTAAGAATGTGACTTGAATTTTTTCCAGGAGATTGCAATAATAATTTCTCAGTGAGCGACCTTTTTTCTTACAAGTTTCATTCCTTTTTTTGCAGCAGCAGTCATTGTTTCCAATGTAAAAATTAAACAGTGTTAGAATACTATGGATAAGAGTTTGCTTTTATTCAATGGGTTTAGCTCTTCATTTTTATTCCCCACTTTTCTCTGTGCTGTTTGTTTCTACTCTCCATAAGCTAGGAATTTACACTTCCTATTGGTATTTGCAGCACGTTACATGGAGTTTTCCAATTTGGGCTTGTGCTTTTGTAGCAAAGCTATTCATCTTTTTCAGAATATGCTTGCTATTAAAATTGCTACAATCAAAAATGAATTTGCAGGATTTGTGTAGGATGCAGAACATCTTCTATTACAAGCAAAAAATCCCATTAGGTCTTATTGTTCAAACATGACTTTTTTTTTTTTTAGTTTATTTACTATGTGGAGGCATTCAGGAGGGCTCCTGAGTTGAGTTACAAATATCTGGAACTGGATTAACTGAAGATTGTCAGTTTCTAACTAGCTACCTGTCATTCACAATGCAGTGGTTTACTCATTAATTGCTTACCTTACAGAACTAGCCACTCCATGTTTCCATAACCATGACAGCTGGCACTACTGTGTTCACTTTCAGTTTAAGAAAAGCTAACAGTAATTTTTCACAAGCATCTGTGGGATGCTACTTATGCACCTACACGAGGGATTTGAAAAAAATCTTACTATGCAGGGCTTTGAAGTCACCTGAATGCTTTTGATAAAGTTATCTGCAAAAATAACGAGAATGGTTTACTTCATTACTTCAAGGAAGCAAAACTTGCATTATAGTCTTTTGAACATTTATATCTATGCTTCCTATTATTGATTGCTTTTAATGTGGTTTTATTAGGAATTAAGAGCTTTTTCCAAAAATACGTAACATCATGTTTCACTCGTAACTTTTTCATGTGCAGAGTTGAGCTGTAAGTTCTGCTGTTATTTCAGGTACTGCTTGAATTCCTCCAAAGGGTAATTGATCATCGAGACAAAAATAAAATGACGTTAAAGAATGTTGCAATGGTGATGGCCCCAAACCTTTTCACGTTTCATGGGTTTGGCTCGAAGACTATTGAACAAAGCGAGTTTGTTATGGCAGCTGGAACAGCAAATGTCATGCGCTTTATGATTCAGTACCAAAAACTTCTCTGGACAGTAAGTGTATTCTTAAGGGGCGGGGGAATCATACATTTTGCAAACAAGGCATCTGAACAAAGAAGTAATATGAACTTATTTCCATGATTTTAGAGAAAGATCAGCCCCATCCAGCTGGGTTCTTGATCATAGGTAACTCTTCTGGGAGCGAAACAGAATCATTACATCTTATGGTAGAGTTAAGCTCTAATGGTCAGAGTTTTTATATTGTATATACCACATGTGAACTCAAAAATAAGTCCTTGGGAGATCTTTATATCTGGTATATCTGTATACATTGTTTTGAGGAATTTGTTCTTTTCTGCTTAGAGATATTAGCAGGAAACACAGTGGTTTAGTTCATTTCCCTTTTGGGCCAAACTTCGTATTATATAAAATGTGTTTTGGTAAAGCATGAAGTTGTGTCATGGTCTCAAGCAAAGCTCTAACTTAGACAGACTGGAGAAGTTCAGGCTTTGTTGTTCATCAGCCACTTTTAAGCAGTTTTGACCTTTGCTGCATGTGAGGAAAAGTTATCACTGTTGTACAGACTAAGTGTTGAGTGAATTGCTTTGACTGAGGAAAGTAAAAACACTGCATGATTCCACCTCTGTTCCCCTGAGAGCTTACTGAATGGAGTGTAACATCACAATTGGAGTGGTTTTTAAATTGCTTCACAGCTTTATATTATTTGAATCTTTAATTATTACTGGAAATAAATACTATTTTTTCGAGTTCTATCTGTCAATTTACAAAGTTTTGATAAGTTAGTTGTTTAAGGAAATTATGTAGATATTCATACTTGCTATCTATATTCATCTAGATTCCTAAGTTTATTGTTAACCAAGTGAGAAAACAAAACACTGAAAGCCAGAAGAAGGAGAAGAAGGACAAAGCTATGAAGAAGCTTCTGAAAAAGATGGCATATGACCGTGAAAAGCATGAGAAACAGGAGAAGACCCCTAATGATGTAAGGAAATATATGGCTGAAATACTTTATTAATAAGACTATCATCGCTAGTGAAAAAGTGGCTATAGCAGAGGGGTTATCTACATTTATTTAACTGAGAATTTCAATATTTAGCAAGTTAATATGGGTTTCATAGTTTATGGGTTACCAATATGACATTTAGAGGGTTGGGCTGTTTGTTTGTTTGTTTTCCCAGATTTTTCAAAATATTTATATTCTAAAAAATTACATCCCACAGGTTGTTTCAACTTGGGCATCTGAAACAAAAGTACATTAGGTCTGTATCTGTAGTGGGAGCAAGTGTTGTGGCAACACTCAGTATTACTGTACCCACGTTTAGATGCATTGGTGCCCAATGGAAGTCATAGCAGACCATGTGTTTACTTAAAAAACAAGTATCTAGATTTCACTATTGGATATTTAAGAGTGTTTGGAAACAAAGCTAGCATTTAATCCTCCTTCCTTCTACAGGAGTTCCCAAACCACTGAAATCTTTGCCTCAGTGAATCTTTATTCCTTGTAAAGTGGAGCATGCTAGAGCATGCACAACCTGCCCACTCCAAGAAAGCCCGAAGGATGAAACAAATGTAAATAACTGGTAAACTGCTTCTTATGCAGCTGTTGTCCAAGTGTCTACTCCCAATTTACCCCTCTAGATATAATCTACAATTCAGTATCTCTCCATTAGGTAATTGACTTCTGCCAGCCCCATCAGTGATGTCAAGGCATAAGTTTCAGTGTAACACTCTTCACACATTCTTTACAATGAAAAAAAAATCCTGTTGCATTGTAGTGTTAATTTTTCCTGTACTTTAGAAATACTTTAATTGCACTGTTCCCGCAATTATTCTGTTTGATCTGTGACCGTAATGTTACAGCTCTGTGGACATCTCTTGTTCTTTCTCTCATATACTCAAAGCAGGCAGGTTTTTAAATCATTTGTCATATGCCTGCTGTATAGACAAAAAACTAACCCTGTTATCCAGCTGAAAGTTGGAAAACTGAAACTTTTCAAAAATATATCTCATGTACCTTGAAATTGCTTATTATTTACGATTTCAATGAAGTTAGTAATTACAATTTTTTGAAGCTCATTAGCCTGTACAGTATGGTATGTTAATTGTAATGCATTTGAAATACATGATTCCAAAGGTATTTTAAATACGTAAACACGTAACACCAAATGTGTGTATCCTGATAACATAATGAATGTGTATCAGATTTAGGTGGTATGAAAATACCACCTTGTGGGTTGAAGTCATATTGAAGATTCTGGTGAATTAGAGACATCTTGTGGTAGCTTGTAAAAATGCATTGGTCCGAATGGTCTGTTTTTCTTATCAAGTATATGTATGGCAAACTGTTACAAAAAAGGTTTGTCATATTCTAATAAAGGCATTTTTTTTAAGCTATTAAGCCAAAAAATAGAATATGGCAAATTAATATGCTATAATATCCCTCAAATCTGCCTGGTTTGATCTTGCAAGTATGCCTTTTTTTTGAATGTGGAAATAGCTGGATCCTTTGGACAACTGCATCCAATATCTGCTGGAGACTTACATTTCAGTGTTCCTACCTAATTTTTTATGCAATATTTGACACATCTCTTAATGTCCAAAATTAATTAATTCCCCGGCATCACTTTGCCTTACTTTGATATCTATCTCTATGAAGGAATCTGTACACAGAATGAGGACTTAATTACAGTTTTAAAATAAAGCTAATTAAACACTGACATTTGGTTTATGCTGTATAATAAGAAAAGAATTCTTTGAATACAATTCAGTTGAGTTACGATGAGATCACACTTAATACTGCCATCCCCTGTTCAACACAGAAATAACAGCAAATACACTGAAATAGGCAAATGCTGTTGCAACTTCAAGTATGGGATTTTTTTGTAATTCAGTGCTGTTCGTCTTTTAGAGTAAAATATGCCTTTTAATCCACTGGGGAGTTAGGGCTGAAGTCTCATGTAATACATTCTTACTCAAATGTAAATGTAAAATTACTATTTAATAATTTTTTTTTAAGCCCTAGAATTCTGTGGGGATTTTCTTCAAAATTAAATGGTACAGTTTTTCACAAATCCTTCATGCTTATTTGGAGCATTCAGTAATCTGTGTGCCTGAGAACATATTATTCTTAAAATCATATTCACAAATTGATATGGCTTCATTGTGTATTACAATTTTATACATTTTTCCAAGTAAAACATTGTCTCATTCTTTAAGGAAAATTTGTTGTGGTTTTTTTCCCCCAATTTTCAATTTATACTACCTTAATTTGAAATTGAGGTGATTTTCCTGTGCAGTTCCTGAACTGCATTTCACTAATAGATGGCAAGTGAGGTACCCAGGCTCATGGTGAATCCCCACTCCAGTGAAAACTGTTTGAGACTTTTGAGAGCTAATTATTTTGCGTGCAGCTGAATAAAAACTTAGTAAAAGTTGCCATTTTCTACCACATACTGTGGCACCCCACATGATTAAACATAAATGGACAGGAGCTTGAGTCACTTCCATACTTTCCAGAAATACCTCACTATCTGCATTCTTAATGGCAGTCAGCTCATTTGGATAAAACTTCATCTTATCTCTGATGAGGCCTCACTGTCAATCACATTTTCCCTTTTAAGACAGAGGTTAAATAGCATTTACTGCTAATTTGGGGCAAGATCTCTGTACAGTGGTGAGAATGGTTAATATTAGAGGGCTCATGAGGGTTAATCAAGAGTGGTTACTATTAGAGGGCTCATGAGTGTTAATTGCTTTTCAGGATACCTATGCATACCTATGGCCCCAAGTCAGTGTTAGGGATTAAGTCTTTATATTGCTGTTCTGGTGCATGATGCTCTAGCCAGGCAAAGGAGGATGCCCTCAGGATCGGAAATTTACCTACTAGCATTAGCCAGATTTATACCATCTGTCATTGTATTCCTCTATATGTTGCAATTGTTCCAAAAAAAGGAGCAGTCAAGTTAGCAGCACAATGCGACTGGGCTTATCTAATACAGGTTAGAATAACCATTGTATCCCATAGCCATTCCGTTTGCATACCCTGTTTGAATTTTCACAGTGTAATGTTACTGACTCTTGCTGAATTTGTCATCCACTGCAGTACCAGCTTATTTACTAAAAAAAATTGCTACCTGCTAAATCATTCCTCTTTATATAGTTTTACAGACTTTTGTCCCAAACCAGGTGCAACACTTTGCAGTTCAGAGAGAACAACTGCATCGCATTTCTTTTCGGACTTTGTCTCCCATGTAGCAAGATCCTTCTGAATTCTAGTTTTGTTCTTCATAATGCTCGTGTCCCATTCCTGCTTGATATCATTTGCACATTTAATAAGTATATATTATATTCCATCATCGAGTCGTTAGTGAAAATGCTGCATAGTCACTTCATTCCTCTCTTCATCTAGCCCAAGGAATATTTATGTGTGTCATGTGAAATGGAACAGGAGAATCTGGAAGAGACCCACCCCAGATCCTATAGCCAAGCAGCTGCAGTTCTTTTGTGATTTATAGATTCACGTGCCTCTGAAAAGAAAGGGTTTGAAAGAAGATGAGTACCTCACAGGTGACTGCTGTGCCTGCTACAGATTAACTGTTGTAGGCCAGTGTATTTTCCATCAACTACAGATGTATCTTTCTTCAGGTTTTTAAAGTGTGCAAGTACCTAACTCAGCCAGAGGTTTCAGTGTTGTAAACCTCGTCCTGAGAGAGCCTGTGAGGCAGGAGAGGGGACTCACAAACGAAATAGTATAGGTGACCCACCCTTCAGCATATTGTCAATCACCTTATAGGTACTTGGCTTATATGTTGTGATGTGGACTCCTAACCTGGATGTTTTGAACTGTCCTGTGCAGAGAACAGATCCTTCTGTGACTCTATTCCTAGATGTTTTATGGCCACGTTTTCTTTCCTACCAACTTGCACAGTGCATGGGCTAGAGGATGCTCAGTATCTGTTCTCTCTATAGTTCGGCACCATGAACACATTGTGCACCTGAGCATGAGCTCTGTAAATGCAGGTGGTGAAACTGGCAAAATGCATTCGTTAGCTGAGCTAATAATGATTCTGTCTGAATAAACAAAGTAATTATTCTGTTTGATCTGTGACCGTAATGTTACAGCTCTGTGGACGTTTCTTGTTCTTTCTCTCATATACTCAAAGCAGGCAGGTTTTTAAATCATTTATCATATGCCTGCTGTATAGACAAAAAACTAACCCTGTTATCCAGCTCAAAGTTGGAAAAAATCCATTAAAATCAACTGAGAGAAAATGATACACAATTGTATACAAAAATGAAAACCAATTTAAATTTACCATGCTGAATTTGATGAAAGACCAGCAAGGGACATCTGTAAATAACCATTTCATCCTTAAAAGTTTCCTTTCCTTTTGCCAAGGTCCCAACAGTTTGGAAAGAGGCAAAAGATTTTTAAGCAGGAGTTAACTTCCTAGCAGATGGCTACAGCCACTGTTTCCATAGGTGGAGGCCTTAAAGAAGATATTTCACAGATTTAGGGATAAGTGTAGGGAGTTGCTCTTCGAGATCCATTGCAATTTTACAAATCTTTGATTCTACAATTACTACGAACCAAATTCTCAATTTGGTGATTCTTAATGCTTTAGACATAATTAGTTATTATGCTAGTTTTTTAAAATCAATAAATAATAAGACTGGATATAGAAGGATTGTTTGGTTAAAATTACTTACGATAGCTCATCACTTGTATAGTAACGAGCCTTTAGCTTTCTCAGTGAGCTGTGCTTCTGATTCTGCTCACGTTTATACTTGTTCTATATTCGTTTAACTCTGATGGTTTCAGAGAAGCTATTCTAGATTCACAGGTGCCCAGATTTGTTCATTGATTATGGAAGAAGAAATGTTCAGCCTTACAATTGAAGTAAATGGGGGGGGGGGGGGGAAGAGAATGAACTGTCATAATCAACCTTGACTACTGAGACTCTTACATTTCTTTTCCTATCAAAATGAGTACATTTGGGTAAATGGTAATGTAATACGAATAGAAAAATTACCTCAAGATTTCCAGGAACAGAAATTAGGACCTTATTCACAAATAAATTACGCCTTTTGTAACTTCAAATGTCATGTACTGCAAGTTGAACAGAAAAACTGTCCTTTGGAGCCCTCCTTCTCTGTAACTAATATGATTGATATTCATCATCAAGGATTTTTGGGTTGAAATAAAATACAAATCCATTATGTAGTCAGACCCGCAGGTTGACTAGCTGAATGTATTCTGGAGAATAAAAAATAGGGAGAAAAAGCTGCAGTAGTGAAAATCTGTTTTAAAAGGAAATGATATTTGAAAAGAGGAATCACTTTCACCTGTGAATACTTTGTGATTTCTTCTTTTGGCATGAAATTCAGATTAAATGAAACTGGAAAGGTTTCTTCTAGAAGTTTGGGGTGAGGGGGGGGGAGGGTTGCCTGCCTTTCATGCCTGCAGCAAGTCTTTTCCATATCAATCTCATCTGCTTCTTATCATACCAAAGTGTGTTCTTAATATAGCAGTAATTGTTATTGTTATTCTTAACATCTTTGAAAAATAATTAAACATGGCTGTTCTTTTGTTCTAAAGTTCGCCCTGCTGTTAAAAAGAGATTTGAAGGTCTGATGTAATTTACTGAATTACTATGTAGTTACCATATTTCTGCAGTGAAGTGTAGTAGATAGTAGTTAAGTACAGAGCACTGTACTAAGTTACTTATTCCATACTGTATTTTGAGAAGCTCATCAAAGCCAGCTGCTAGCAGCTTTGCTCTAACACCCTTATTGCTTTGCAGGCTGATGTTCCTCAGGGAGTGATACGGGTGCAAGCACCTCATCTTTCAAAAGTTTCCATGGCAATACAGCTGACAGAAGAACTGAAAGCCGGTGATATAGTAGCCAGGTTTCTCAGCCAGAAAAGGTACAAACACATTTTTGTTCTGTTATCATTTCAGAGAAGTGGCTTTTCATATATTATATCAAGAAGAAAGTTTTAAAATACTTTAAGTCCAGGTGAGTTCATGAATTTTTTGCACAAATTTAGCCATTAGAATACATGCTTGAGGAATTAACTTAATGCTCCTAATGTCATTAAAGCTTACAAAGCCTTCAGGAATACATGAGTGCCATTAGTAAAAAAATTAACTGCTATTTAATCTGATGGGTCAGGAATAGTTTTGTAACTTTCTGAGGACAAGACAGAAGGGAACTTCAGGAAAATAAGCCTAAGAAACAAAGGAATGAGGAATAGAGAAAATATTTTGTAAAAAAAATGCATTTATATATAGCAACAGTATAGGTGTTGGGATATAAATATGTGCAAATGTCATGCATGTGCAGTGATTTAAAAGGAAACCTACATTTGAGTCACCCAAATCCATTTAGAAAGGGAGAAGTTTTAATTAAGCTTTTACATCTGTTTTTTATATATATATATGAGCAAAGTAAGAAATCAGAATAGACTTAGCAAAAAACCAATATTTAACACGTGTGCATCATATAGAACTATTCGTACTAAAGCAATATTATGGTACACTAGTTGAGATTAAGAAGCTGCTTTTTCCTAAATGCTGTTTTTAGAGGTTTACACTTGACAGAATGTTATTTTCTATCTGTTCCTTAGCATATATTATTACAATTAAGCAGTGAGAATAATAGAATCCCTTTGTAATACAGGGCCTTTATTCTTCTACTGTCTGTTTTTTACTTCTTTTAGTTGCAGCAAAATTAAAACCAGCAAGAGTGTGGTTTCTCCCACCCAACCATAAGGCTTTTTCAGAAATATGAAGTGTTTGAGGGTAATACTTATTTTTGCAGCAGCAGTGAAAGAAAAATCAGAAAGAAATATCAGGCTACTTGCTAATAACAATGGAATTCTTTTCTAAACCCCACATCTATCTTATTTTACCTTTTCTGTAGCGTATTGCTCACTTGCAGGACTATTCATTTGCACTAGCATGCAAGGGTATTCTTGTTCACTTACTGTATCAGTAAATGAGTATAACAAGAAGGGTTTATGACAGGTACACTGCTGATCTTAATTAGCAGAATTTCTCCCGGACACGTCTAAGTGGCTGATGTTCAAGCTCTTTCGCAATATAGGTATTCATTGTGTTTTGTTCCCAACAGTGGAAATGTCCAAACACTCAAGAAAGAAGAGGTCTTTCTTTATGAAATAGGAGGAAATATTGGTAAGAATGGCTTCTGAACAACTTCTTTTGCTAGAATAAGATTCCTTGGCACGTTGTCCATGGGCTTCACTGTGGCTGCATTTTTATTCATGTCCCTAGTTCTCCCTGACACTAAGGGAGACAGTTAACCTTGGGGAGAAGGAAGCAGAGATGTTGATGTGACCATCATATTAGTAGTATCTTATTATCTCTCCCAGAGGAAGACAGCAGCTGTAACAGGTGTTCCTGATATGTATGTACAGTGAAGAAGCACAGAAAGGTTGGATAGGAAGGTGCTTGAAGTTCATCTTATTCATCTCTTTGTATTGAGGCATAATAAGTGAACTTACAGTCCTTCATGCTCTGCTTGCAGGTTCTTTTGGGGAAAAAAAAAGCTCAACCAGAAGGATGACCTAGTGATAAAATTTTCCAGTGGTTAGTCTTTCCTGCTCTGTCTTCCAGACCCTCTTGATTAAAGCAAATAGCAGATCAGCAAGGTTAATGCCAAAGGATAATTTTGAACACAGTTCTGAAATTTTCTTCAATGAATGCAAAAATATTCTTGCATTGGGAATCAGTTTCTAATCACAGTATTTTTCATATGCTCAGAAAAAAAAAAGAGAACTAGAAAACAGTATTGGACTTACATTTACTTTTTTCTTATTAACCGTGACCCGTTAAAATTTATTTGAAGTTATAAAATTCCATGAACACCTGGTAATTCTGTACTCTGCAAGTTTAAATCCTGTACATAAATTGCTACTTCTAGCATTTTTCCTTTTTACCTAATCACTATTTTAAACCGATTTTTGTGTGTTTGTGTCTAAACCAAAAGACTTGAAGGAAATTAAAAATAACACTCTCCTATGTTCCCTACAACAGATACATTTTAGTGTTTTTACTAAGTCTGATGGCAAAAAAGAAGTGACTAAGATAGGTGGATGCTAGATTAATGTATTATACGCTCTCTTGCCTATGCAGTATGTACGTACATTTGCTATGCCTGTTAAAGCAGGTTGTGATCCCAGATGTAAGACTCTTTTAAAGGAGAGGAGTATCTTGTTTGCTGTACAGAGGTGTAATCATTGTAGAAAAAAGTTTTTGTAACAGGATTCCAGTGAAACTGGAACAACCTACTATCACTTTAAACACGTGACAGAAACTGTATATCTCAGAGAAAAGACATGGCTAGTTGCAGATCTGTTTTGTTTTGTTATGAAATGAGATAGAAAGCTTAGATGTTTCCTCTCTCTAACAGTTTACTTCCAGACAATTTCAATTTTAATCAGCCCTTACAAATACTAGTCCTTATTGATACTCTCAGTTGAGATAAGAGAAACTCCCTGACTTTAACCTGCTGTACAGGTTTAAGTAAACCAGCTGTCTGATCTTTGCCATTTCTCTCTCTATGCCCGACATGACTGACTCATGTAGAGGGAGCCCAAAAGGGAGAATACTTGACAGGCTCGTGATATACTCATATGCTTACACTTACGCTCATTACTGTAACATGCACAGTGCTGCGATCCTGTCCCCTAGCAGATGGAGCTGCTGAAGTCTCCAGACATTTCCTGAGTACTCAGTACACTGTTGGGCTTCAAGACACTGAACGGAACTTCTGCCACTGCTTTGTGACCGGGACTGGATAGGGACATGGCAAACTACTGTCCCTGTTCTCTCACTGCCTGAACATGCTGCACTGTGTGGGGGAGAGGGCCTAGTTCAGCAGCATGGGCAGTACAGGTCATGTAGGTTGGGATAAAAACCCTGGAGGTAAGTCAGGCTGCCACCTGGCAAGGAGAACAGATTGAGAAGTAGCAGATGGAGACCAAGCTTGCTTGAGCAGGGAGTCTTGCCTCCTTGCCTGCTCTGCGCAGGGAGTCCAAAGAGCTCGTAGACAAACCCACCTGCAGCATCACACCTCTGCTTGCCTCCTGCTTCAGGAGCACATGTGCTGGAAACGTCTGGCTGGCACACGAGCCATCTACGCCAATCACTTGCACAGTGGAGTAGGAGAGGGGCTTTGATGTAGAGCTGCAAATGCATGAGATAATGCTTTGCCTGCAGGGGAATGGGAAGAGTACGTGGATCTTCATGGATCAGCATATGCTATTTTCATCATAGCTACTAGACATAAATAGTTGCTTGTAGTGCACCAAGAACACTGTACTACTTTTCCCCCCTAGGACAGTAACCATTAGAAGTGCTACCCAGAACTGCTGACCAAGAGGAGCAGGACAGGAAGTAACACCTTCTTAGCAGGGACAAACCTTGCTCAAACTTTCCATTTAAGAAGGGGAAAATAACCTGAAATTTTCATGAGCTTCTATGCAAAGGTGAACATAGTGTTTGGATTTAACCACAAGAGGACCAGGGCATTGCTCCTTTTTTCCTAAACCTTCGCAGAGGGGAGCTCCCATGTGCATGGTCTGTGTGAAGAATTTGACCTAGAACATGCTAACAGAGGTGGCACAGCCCCTATTCTCCTTCCTTCTTCCTCTGTCCCCCTTCCTCCCCAGGACAGATAGGAAGGGTAAGAGCACTTCTAGGTTTTCACTGCATTGTCCTTTGTTTAATACCACAGAAAGGGCTTGAAAACCTAAATGGAATAAAACACTGACAGGAACTTTGTACGTTGTTTCCTTTCTTTTTAGGTACTGATGTAACCACATATCTCTTCTGTTTCTAGGAGAACGCTGCCTTGATGATAATACCTACATGAAGGACCTATACCAACTCAACCCAAATGCTGAGTGGGTTATAAAATCTAAGCAGAGCTAAGCTTACAACTAATGGCAAAAGAACAACCTGTGGACTTGCTCTGTAAGGCTGAATGTTTCAAAGGGATACTGTGTCCTTTCAACATTCAACTGTGTTATATATATTAATAGAACCTTATCCAGTTAGGGGCAGGGGGGGAAAGTGATGGGAACCCAACAGTGTTTACCAGTAAATTTTCAGTTTTAGCTGCAGCAAAATTTTGGAGATAGCACAGTTTTCCCACTCACATTTGAAATGGGAAAAAGTACCTTAAATATTTTAATGGCACTAATTACCTCCCATCTGGTAGGTCTTGTTTCAGAAGAATTTATTTTTCAAACAGATGTTTAACCTCTTTATATTAGAGATCTACAATCTGTTTGTGCAGAATTGTGTGTTCATATAGGTCTTTACAGTGCTAGTACACTGAAGAACCAAATCCTGATAAGCACTTCTGAAAGGTACAGTATTACAAATACCTAAAACCAGTCATGAATTCCCAAGTAAGTGTGAAATTCACAGGAAAAAACTGCAATGCAATATATTTTGTCTTTGGAAGTCCTAATTTTGTTCACTTTTTAGGTAAAGTTTGATGAAAACTATTTAAAACCAACTGTGAAAATGCTTTCTATGCAGCTTTTTTGCTAGATCTTTTAAATATTTTTTATTCTTATTCCAGTTGATTGTATTCTTGAGATTATTTAAAAAAAAAAAAAAAAGAAAAAAGAAAGGAACGTGTGACAAGGTGAGTAATTTTTAAAGCTCATCACTCTTGGCAGCGTCCTTTCTGGAATATTGTCATGCACTAGAAAGACCTTTAGGTTTTTCAGCAATGATGCTGAATTGCATGCAGCCACGTTACATACACTGGTTTCAGGTTTTTTGGACATCTCATAGATTGCATTTTGTGAACTGCCAAAACCTGCCAATTACTAGCACAATAAAAACTTTCAGGAGGAATAAAATAACTGTGGAGGGAAACTGTTGTCTAGATTTCATAGATAGCAAACCACGAAACCTTTCACTCAAAATCAGTGTAAAGGTCTACTGTGGAGTTCACATAGGCTTTTTGGATTTTATCTACCACCAGCTTTATATCTGGTCTGTCCTGGATGATGCTAGAAATCAAGTTCTGGTTTCCCTTATGCTGATAGATGCTGTGTAAACCCCTTCAAAAATTAATAGTCCAATGGTGAACTATCGCAAATCCTTCTCTTTGGAGGGAAGGACTGAAAGCTACCTGTGGGATTCACTGATAATGAATTACAGACTGACGTGGCTTGTTGCAGCACAAAGAGTTGTGGACTGTAGCTCCAGAGCCCCAGTCCCACAGCAACACTTTGGGCTCACTAACTTGTGTACTGCTTTACAATTTATTTGTAAACTAGCTCAGCCATGCTTAAGTGCTCACACCTACATGCTGACTACCTGAAATATAACTACTGTGAAATTATATCCTTGGAATGAAATATTTTCTTTCAGTGCACAGACAGAATTATATTGACCTCATAGGGAATATTCTACATACAATCAAGGACTGAATTACATTTTTCTACGTGATCAAAGCTGATTAAAGGAATAAAGGGCCTTTCTGCTGAGCTTTGAATACAGGCCCTGACTGTTGTTCCCAAAGTAACCACTGAAACTCTCCCTTTTATATATAAGCAGTGAAAGAGAACTCTGAAAGGTCATAGAAAAATTAGACATCTACTGATTAGTTATCCACAGCACATGAACAATTTTGGGGGCATAAGTATTTAGTGTTTTTTAAAGTCAAAGGCTATCTTCATATGGAAAGGAAGCATTGAAGGATTCTCAAAAGCAGGATGGATAAAATAGGAAGTTGTTCTAATGTGACTGTACTGCCCTCAATGCTCCATCTGGTTGGGTACCCCTGCATGGTATAGCACTGTGCCACTATGGGTAAACCCTGTAAGACAAATCACTTTTGTCAATAGAACAAACCAAACTCCCTGTTCTTTAAATGTAAGGAGTAGAGTAGAAAAACAGTACAATGCTTAGGTAAATATTTATTAATCCAGTGTAATAAATATAAGGGGGTTTTGCCATGTAATACAAAAATGATGTGTGTTTTCATAATACATTATAGTTCTGTAAAAGATTACTTGTTACTGGAACTCTAGATGTTATTTGAATCAGGAGCAAAGTGCAGATGATAGGAACAGCTGTACAGTTTCAGTATAAAATTACAACTGCCCTGTGGCTATGATCTCTTAAATAACTTTGTTTCTGGTTTAGTGCCATTATCTTTTTTAATTTAAAGCGCTCTTTTATAATTAAATGTTGTTTTTTCTGACTTCTTTTCTCGTTTGAATTCTTTTGTTTGTATGTAAAACATACCCAATTGACACTAAGTGGTGATTATTTTTTAATTTCACACTTTATATCTTTGTAGGTAGTTTGTAGTTTTGTGTATAAAAAGAGACATTGATAAGTTAAGAGTCTTGCAACATGAATGCCTGCTAGAAAAGGAAATACTGGCTAGAAGTTTAAAACTTTGCTGCAATCACAGCACACCTTAGCTAAATCTGTAATTTAATGCTTACTGGGTATATGTGAGGGAACAGCAACCCTCTCAGCACTTATTGAAAATACTGGCTCTTAATTCTTCATGATTAAAAAGTTAAATTAGGGCACAAGGGGGAAGTCCAAAACACATTCAGGTAAGCTGATAAGAATCTTTTATAATTAAGAAGACAGTGCTGCTTGGGTTGCTTATTTGCGGCAATTTGGCAACCCATCGTTGTTTCACTGACACTTGGGAAACCCACCTGCAGGTTTTTTTTCACCCAGCTGACAGATTAATTGACTTAACACTTAGCGTGCAACCCCATGCAGGCAGAGCGGCGGGGATGCATCCAGTGCAGCCAAAGCCTGTGCCGGACACATGCCTGGTGCTCTGCTCACATTGCAGGACTGGGATGGGGGGAAGGAAGGAGTGGGGAAGCAGGCAATGGCCCCTCGTACCACTGCATGGATGTTGTGGAGCATGTAAGGATGGTTTTGTGCTCAAAAATCATTCTCCAATGTATACTGGGGCGGGAGGGGGGGAGTTGTGAGAGGGTCCACAATGCTTGCGTGAGGTGTTGACACCTTTCTCACACTGCCTGTCCTCTTCAAAGACCAAGGAGTTTGCACTCATTTTCCATAACCTCCTGTACTTCCCCACCTTGCGTGAAGTGCACATGTCATCCCTGGACATCCATGGGTGCTAAGGCGGCGGCTGTCATCCCAACCACCTGCTCCCCGCGTGAGCAGCAGTGAGGTAGGAAGCAGCATGGCAGGTTTTTCTCATGTTGCAGGTCAACAAGCAGCAGGTGTGAGTATGCTGGTGAGGTTTCAGGGTAGCAGGGAGTGCGAAGACGAATGGGTCTGGATGTGTTGGGAGCATGGGCTGAGTTTCCATCAGGCCTTTCAGTATGCGGTGGCATGGCTGAGATGAATTCAAGGGATAAGGAGATGCATTTTTACCAGTGAGCACTGATGGAGAAGTAAATGTTGGAGAAAGGCCTGCTTGAAACTTTTTCCAGCCCATTATTTCTTTGTCAGATATTCTTCTTAAAAGCAATGGAACAGTCCAATAAAATACCCTCCTTTACTAAATATTGAGTTAAATGGCAACAGAAAGCTAACTTGGTGAAAGATTTGCTAAATGAATGATTTCCTCTGTACCACACTTAAATACATCTGAGGATTAGACCTCTACTGTGCTTCTGTGTTTAAAAGGTTGCAGCCATTCAAAAAGAATAAAATGTGTATGTGCTAATCTTGCAGCAATATTTATAATAATATTTTTTTACATAGAGCAGTGCTTTAAAGATCTTTAAACCACTGTTTGTGTTTGCACACAGACCATATCTGAGGCAGGTAAGTACTTACCATCCCCATTGAACAGATGGGAAAAGTGTTCATAAATGTCTGCCCTGCGGCTAGAAGGGGTGAAATCAATCTGATTTGTGGAAACCAAATATAATCCTCCAAAAATTGTTTTAAAAATCTGCCATATTGCCAATAACAGAAGTACAGCAATCACTAATCTGACTTCAGGGGACTGTTTTAATAAATACAATACTGTGGTTTTTAGCCTGGTTTCCAAAGGAAAGGTGTCTGGGGTAATCTTGCTGCCTGTGTGTGTCTTCCCCTAATAACTTGTGATTCTTTTGGCAGACTTCAATCATTTTGGGCAAATGGAGTAGGGGGAGGGAATGTCTCAAAAATACATTTCGACGAGCTTCATAAAACTAGGCAACTGGAAGGGAGACAGAGGCAGTAACGAGGCCTTTGTTCAAAGGGAAGATGACAGCGTAAGCTCAACCTTTATGTAGGCACCAGAACAGATGCGGGAGAGTCCATATGCGTGCTCTGGCCATGGAGGGAGGCTGTGCTTGGAGCTCCCACCCAGCCATTGGGAACTGGCATCAGGCCTTTGGATGCCTGTGAAAGCGCTTGCTTGTGTTGCCTTCTGATTTCTGAATCTTCTTTGCTGACGTCACGTGGGTGATTGTTGCTGAAGCTGCAGTTATTCTCCTGGGCTGGCTTTTGTGGTGCAGCTTCTCCGCAACTTCTGCTTAGTATGGCTCATCCCCGTCCCCTCCCTATGGACTGAGCAACTGAGCACCTTCCCGGCCTGAGCTCTACCTGCAGTTAACGATGTTCACACAGGTAGCGGTGCATCTGCTCTCTCCACTTGTAGGGCTGCTGGGAATTGCCTTCATCCTGGACAAAGATCAGATCTAAAATTGGGCAGTATCAAAGGACAGCCTTCACGTGCAGGTTTTAAACTGTAGTGGGAATGTAGCTTGCCATTCAGATCCTCTGTTCTGAATCATACGGAGGTGGTGATGGTTCAAAATCCCTGCAGATGTTACACTCCTTGTTTAGTCCCTTTTGGGATAATTGAAAGGATCCTTCATTCTTCCTGTGGCACTGTAAAACCAATAATGCTCATTCACACTGAGAGCTGAAGTCTCCGTATTTCACCTGCCGAATGAGCTTTGCCCTGTGTGTTACCATTATGCCTCCATAATGCATTACTCTTGAAAATGCCTCGGTTTTGGTTTAATTGGCCTGGTTCCCGTGAACAGTCTGATCACACACTACATCACTAGATCAGGTCCTGTAGATCGGTC